TTTAGTTATTTTTAGTTAAATTCAGTAATTGTTCATTATAGCCCCCCAAAAGACTTATTTATATATACATGGACTATATAAGAGTACCTAACTTTTTTCTTTTGTACTCCTGCCTCTCTGTGACTGACATCCAGCAATTATTTGTATCCAATCATTTAGACCATAAGGCAGCCAACATTAAGACTACCAGCTTCTATTACAGAGACTCCTATATTTGGAAATTTGATTAGGTGGGCTTAATTTGCATGGTGAATTCTGCTAATTTACAAAATCAGGATTCTTTCACATACATGATAGTGTATGGTGGAACTACATGATTTCCTCATTTTATTGAGAGACAACCATTGCTCCAGTAAAGACTGCTAGGAATGACTTAGAAGGTGTTAGTTGCATCTTCCTCACTAAAGCATTAGGGAGTTTGTGAACAGGAATTAGAAGTATGGGACATAGTCAGAAAGTAGTTGCTGCAGACACAAAAACATAGGAGACCAGTGGCAAATATGAATTACTTTCTTTTTTCATTTTTTCTTTTTTTTGGAGAGGGAGCCTCACTCTGTCGCCCAGGCTGGGGTGCAGTATTGTGATCTCAGCTCACTGCATCCTCCGCCTCCTAGGTTCAAGCAATTCTCCTGCCTCAGCCTCTTGAGTAGTAGGGATTGCAGGTGTGTACCACCATGCCCAGCTAATTTTGCATTTTTATTAGAGATGGGGTTTTGCCATATTGGCCAGGCTGGTCTCAAACTCCTGACCTCAAATGATCCATGTGCCTTGGTGTCCTAAAATTCTGGGAGTACAGGCATGAGCCACCACACCTGGCCTCAATTACTTTCTATTTGAAAGGAAATAAGCCTATTGATTTAGTTGAAAAATTTAGATCATTAGTAATATAATTAATATAGCAAGTATGTAATAAGTAATAATATAACGTAACAGGTATTACTAATATAAGTACCAGAGTAGTAGCTACCATTTATTGCCAGGCACTGTCTGTTTTGTTCTGTTATCACAGAATACCACAGACTGGGTAATTTATAAAGAACAGAAGTTTATTTCTTACAGTTCTGGAGGCTGGGAAGTCCAAGATCAAACCTCATCAAATTGTAAAGGTTGCATCCTCTGGAGGGCAAGAGAAGCTGCCTGAAGCCTCTTTTGTAAGGGTCTTAAACCCTTTCTGTGGGGTCCTGCTCCCATGGGCTGATCCCCTGTTAAATGCCCCACCTCTTAGTACTATCACTTTGGCAACACATGAATTTTGAAGGGACACATTCAAACCATTGCAGGTGCTTAAATAATTCACTTCTTTTAATTTGAATTATAACCCTGTAATAATAGAAGCTAACATTTATTGAGCATTTACTTTGTGTTGATACCATTCTGTATGCTTTGTATATATATTAATGCATTTAATCCTCACAACAATTCTATTAGTAGTATACTGTTATCTTCAGAGAGAGGTTAAATAACTAACTCAAAGTAACACAACTAGTTAGTGGTTTAAATTCAGGTGTTCTGGCTCTAGAACCTACTGTCTACTATGTACCAAATTGCTTCAACCCTATAGGTATAAGTGCTTATTCTTATCCATCTTTTATAGATAAGGAAACTGAGGCTCCTGAATTTTGAGTAGTTTTCCTATAGTCATATTGTTCTACACAGAGCTGGGATTGTCTTGTTTGTTATT